AAACAGGACTTTGAATTTTCTAGGAAGGGCTCAGCAGTCTAAGATAACATGGAGACTAATGTATTTGCAATAGATGATCAATAAGTATTTGTTAATTAATCCTAATAAATAGATAGCTAACAGTGAAAGGATTTTAAGAGACTTGTGTTTCTTGTTTCCTAGTTTTAAACAGGACCGTGGACATCCTAACTCTGTAGATGGTTAGCTCTTCAGCTTACCTGGAAAAGTCTTACCTTGTCGCTTGATCTCTTCCTTGTTTTATAGACAAATATCATTATGACCATATGTGGCTTTTTAAAATTTATTTTTCAATTTATATCCAAGTTAGTTAGCATATAGTGCAACAATGGGTTCAGAAGTAGATTCCAGTGACTTATAGAATGATATGTATAACACCCTGGTTCCGTCCATATAGTTGCAAATGGCAAGATTTCATTCTTTTTGATTGCTGAGTAATACTCCATTGTGTGTGTGTGTGTGTGTGTGTGTGTGTGTGTGTGTGTATCACTTCTTTATCCATTCATTCATCAATGGACATTTGGGCTCTTTCCATTCTTTGTCTATTATTGATAGCATAGCTATAAACATTGGGGTGCATGTGCCCCTGTGAAACAGCACACCTGTGTCCTTTGCCTAAATACCTAGTAGTGCAATTGCTGGGCTGTAGGGTAGTTTTATTTTTAATTTGTTGAGGAACTTCCTTACTGTTTTCCAGAGTGGCTGCAGCAGTTTGCATGCCTGACCATATGTGGCTTTTCTTTTCTTTTTAAATTTTTTAAATGTTTTATTTGTTTCTGAGAGTGAGAGAGACAGCGTGAGCAGGGGAGGGTCAGAGAGAGAGGGAGACACAGAATCCAAAACAGGTGCCAGGCTCCAAGCTAGCTGTCAGCACAGAGCCCAACGTGGGACTCGAACCCAAGAAATGCAAGATCATGACCTGAGCTGAATTCGGAAGCTTAACCTACTGAGCCACCCAGGCGCCCCTGTGGCTTTTCTAATTCTGACTAGTTACAATGTACAATAGCTGGCCCCCTATCTCTCTATATATAATCATTGAAAATAGTTTCTAAGTATCTTATGTGTCTTATTATATCTGTGGGGAGCTAATTATAATTGTTATCTTAAATTACAAATTCAGTTTTCCAATTTTGTAATTATTTTATACGTTACCAATTATCATGCGTCTTAAGATAGTTTATTTTTAATTCAACTCCAGAAATACACTCTGTGATTAAAAGGACTGTCCATCATATTCCCACCATACTCATAAGCCTATAATATTATTTAGCATGTACTAAATATTCTTTAGGTTATCTGTTGAATAAGCATAATTAAAGTTAAAAAGCTGTCTTATTCTGGAATAAGTTTCAGGACAGGACAGTTAATGATACTCTTTTCTTTCCTTTCTATATTTGTAGGTATTTCTGTTTTGTGTTTCACTGTTTACTGTAAAATTTTATCATCTTTCAACCTGATTTTATTCATAATTAAATCATTCTTGACATAATATACATTTATTTTGCAGATCTTCCCAGATATTTGAAAATATATTCTTTTTTCTTTTTTAATTTTTTGTTTAATGCTTATTGATTCTTGAGAGAAATAGAGACAGAGAATAAGCATGGAAGGGGCACAGAGAGAAAGGGAGACACAGAATTTGAAGTAGTCTCCAGGCTCTGAGCTGTCAGCACAGAGCCTGGCGCAGTTAAGCATCTGACTTAGGGTCAGGGCATGATCTCATGTTTCATGGGTTCAAGCCCCGCGTCTGACTCTATGCTGACAGGTCGGAGCCTGGAACCTGCTTCAGATTCTTTGTTTCTCACTCTCTCTCGGCCCCTCCCCTGCTCATGATCTGTCTCTCAAAAATAAACATTAACAAAAGTATTAGGGGGAGCCTGCGTGGCTAAGTCAGTTAAGCCTCCGACTTCGGCTCAGGCCATGATCTCGCAGTTCGTGGGTTCGTGCCCCCCGTCAGGCTCTGTGCTGACAGCTCAGAGCCTGGAGCCTGCTTCAGATTCTGTGTCTCCCTCTCTCTCTCTCTCTGTCCCTCTCCTGCTCGTACTCTGTCTCTCTGTCAGAGAGAATGAATTCAAATGAATTTAAAAAATTTTTTTAAAAAGTTTTAAAAAAGTAAGATTCACATACAATATAGGTTATTTTTTCCTAATACTTGTGAGGATTGTTGTGGATGTCTTCTTTGGATCTTGTAAAATTACTTACCTCTTCTACTTACATGATGCTCATGCTACACTATTGTGAATTGTTAGTTATTTATTTTCATGTGCATACCTTCATATGAAGCATGTAAATTTTCTTATGGTAAGAGCTGCATCTACCCTGTGTCACCTTCCAGACAGTTTTTGTATAGTACATAACATTAATTCATATAATATTATGAATTAAAGAAACAAACCAATATATAATGGGATTGACACTAATAAATGCTAAGGCCAGAAATAGGTTTGGTAAAGAGGATACAACATGTCCAGGAAGTAATTTTTTATAGAGTAGTCAGGGAAGGTTTCAGTAAGAAGGGCTAAGCCAAGACAGAGCTGTACAGATATCTGAAGAAAGTGCTTCCAAACAGAAGGAAAGAGTAATGTAAAGAATCTTAGACTGTAGTAGTTGGTTTGTGTTAGGAAGAGGAAGGTCTGTTACCAGAGATGATGAGTGAGGGGGAAGGTGGAAGGATGTCAGGCGAGAGAGGGTTGAAGGGTGTGTGTAGATCATGAAGGTCATGGGAAGGAAATTTCATTTTACCTTGGATGAGATGGCAAATGGTTAGAGAGTTTGAGTGGAAGGGAGAGAAATGATCTTGTTTACCTTTTCAAAGGGTAACAGTGGCCCTTAAGTAGAAAAAGGACTGGGGAGGAAAGGAGAGTACTGAGGCAAAAGTGAGGCTGGGCAGTATGTTAGGAAGCTATTTGCGATACACTTGACCTTGGACAATAAGGGGTTGACCCCTGTGCAACTGAAAACCTGCATATAACTTTTGACTCCCCCAAAACTTAACTTCTAATAACCTTCTATTGACTAGAAACCTTGCCAATAACATAAACAACTAATTAAAACATATTTTGTATGTATGTTCTATGCATTATATACTATAGTCTTACAATAAAGGAAGCTAGAAAAAGTTATTAAGGTAGATGTAAGAGAAATACATTTACAGTATGGAAAGTACTGAATTTATTGATGCTGTGAGTTTATGTCATCTGTTTATAGGCTAAATTGTGTTTTGGTGCCTCTGTCAATATTGTTCAATATATTTACTGAAAGAAATCCACACAGAAGTAAACCCACACAATTCAAACTCAGGTTGTTCAGGAGTCAACTCTACTTTAGGCAAGAGTTAATAATAGTTTGGATTACATTATAAGTAGTAGAGCATGTGAGAGGTGGTTGGATGATGGATATGATTGAAAGAAGAATAAAAAGAGACAAAAATAATTGGTAGTAGATTGAATAAGAGAGTATGTGGGTGATAGATTAGATGTAAAGTTTGAGAAAAAGAAATCAAGGATAATATGAGGTTTTTAGCCCAAGAAACAAAGAGTGGAGATGCCATCTATCATATCATTGTGGCATATGGAGTTGCTATATGGAAGATTGTAAGACAAGGTGTTTCAGATAGAAATCCAGAATATGTCCTTTGTATACCAGATTGCCTTCTCTACCTACCACTGGGGAAACAAAGTGGTCAGTTAGATATATGTGTATAACATTTGTGGAAGACATTTGGATTAGGTATACTGCTTAGTAAAAATGAAAAATAGTGCTTATTGTTTTTGATTGATTCAGTCTTTCGAACTGAAATCATGTTAACTAATACTTTCCCAAAATTGGAAAAATCAAACAAGTTCTTGCTTTCCATATGTATATTTGAAAATGGTATCTGCTCTGCTTCAAACAGTTATGTATTTGACTTAACCATTCTTGAGAACAAGGAGGTTTTGCAATCTTTTTCCAATTAGGTGAAGAATTTAGACTATATTCTATTAGAAACAGAATCTCAAAACTTACTGATAAATGGCTTTATTATACTAATTGCTTTTTCTTTATTTCCATAGTCTGTCTCTGTGCCAGAGGGAAATTATATTGGTCTTAAAGGATTTGTTCTTCAAATGGCCACGTAGGTCACAACACAAAAACTTACTTAGTTGGTGGCAAATTTATTATTTAACGATTTGTCCCCAGTGTCTTTCTGGTGGCTATATTTAAAATCATTGGTCTATAATTGCAACCCTTTATGCATATGCATGCACATATATTTCATTTATAATCTTTAGACACATTTGTCATTCAGATATTCAAAAAGCACTGTTATTTAAAGACTCTATGATAGCATAGAGCCATTTTTCAAGTATGCCTAAGCCCATTTGTCCAATGAGAGTTTGAAAAATAATGTAAGGGGTTTACAGTTGACATTTGGGAAACTAGCTCCTCAGAAGGAATAATTGGATGCTAGGGCATTTTTAAGGCTTTATACATTTTGAATGGCCTTATGTTTAAAACACTCTTGATGTAGTTGAAATGCCCTTATGTTTCTTTCCATTCTCTCTCTGAGACTTTGTTGATTATCTCCAGTAGGATTCTTATTTATATTTAGAGGACTCAGGCACAAGTATAGATGTGAAGACAAAAACTGTGGTCCAATAGTATGGTTTAATATCAAAATTGCAAAATAATGTGGGATAAATATTTATTGAGTTAAAATGAGTAGGAAAATGAAGAAAAAGTAATAAAGGATATGATAGGTCATTTCCATATATAAAAAAGCCCTTTAAAAATTCCATTTGACTAGGTTCTTTCATGTTGTTTTAATATATTTCTTACTATTTGTATTAATAAGTTTCATGAAAACTATTTATACATGTAGTACACCTGAAATACCAATGCAATGTGATCCTAGTACATATATCAATATAATCGATACCTTTTATAGTGTATGTGTATGTTTTTTGTTTTTTGTTTTTTGTTTCTTTCTGTCTTATCCATAGAAAATGATACCATCTACTGGACAGACATGGGCTTCAATAAAATTAGCCGAGCTAAAAGAGATCAGACTTGGAAAGAAGATATCATTACCAATGGCTTGGGAAGAGTGGAGGGGATAGCTATTGACTGGATTGCTGGTATAATCCATGGCTTTTTCTGTTTCCATTCACACCTATTTTGTTAGGGTTTCAACCTCCTTCATAAAAATTGTTTCCAACTCATAATTTTTTTTGTAGTTCTAGCCACAGGGATAAATAGCCTTTTTTGCTCTTGGCTTCATTCTTTCTAATGCTTATGAGCCTTTAGACAAATGTTTTTATGCAGAAGTAGATTATGTAGTGTTAACTTTGCCCAAATCTCCTGAGAACTGTGAGGCAGGTAAACAAAAGTGTTAGAAGTTCTCTTTTGCCTGGAGTCAGTAGAAAGTTAAAATAGATCCCTTCTTAGGTGACAGAAGTTTCAACTTATTTTTAACACCTAAATGTATCATTATATGGTTTAAACCACAGATGTGTAAGATTAGAAAGTATTTGAATGTTAGTTTATTTACAGCTTTCTGTGTAGGAAATGCACACATAAAATAAATATAGGAAGTAAATGATTTCTTGATAATTATGTGAATGCTCCAAAAGTTAATTTTAGCTGTAACTAATAAATCATTTTCTTTCTCACAACTATGTTATGAACACTTCTGTATTTCTCCTAGGTAACATATATTGGACCGACCATGGTTTCAACTTAATTGAAGTTGCAAGGCTCAATGGCTCTTTCCGTTATGTAATTATTTCCCAAGGCCTGGATCAACCAAGATCTATAGCTGTGCACCCAGAGAAAGGGTAATTTTAGTCTTTACATATATCTTGAGTTTTAAGTAAGTTTTTGTAAGTTTTATTTTAAAAAATCCACATATCATATTAATACTTACTTTTTGTTAAAATGTTTGAAACAAAACTCAGTATCTTAACCTAAGCAAAAGAAAAAGTCTATTTTCACTCTGTGGTGTGTATTTTAGTACATATTTGATGAAGTTATACTTACTATGCAGTTCTTTATGTGTAAATCCAAGTAAGTATACCAACATGTTTCTAGATTCTCAGTTTAAAGTTCTGCCCTACGACTATTTGCAAAACAAGTACTCAGTCATTCTCTGAGTGAATGATAGCCAACCTCATTCTTCAGTATTTCTAAAGCTTCAGTTTCCATTTTCAAGTCTGTGATTTCCATTTAACATGTTCATTCCAAGCATTGTATTTCTTTTTTGCCTGGAGTTCCCGATAGATATGTCTACCTGTTTTTTTGACATCTCTATTTTTCCATTTGGATGTTTCATAGGCACTCAAATTGTGCATATCTAAAATGGAAATGAATTTAGTCTGCCATCAAGCTCTGTTAATATTTTTTTCTAAATATTATCAATCTACCATTTTCCATCTTTGCTACTTTCACTCTAATTAAATCTGTTCTTATCTTACACATATACCACTGCAGTGATTACACAATTGATCTCCTAACATTAAAGGCAGATTGACATTTTTTTCTTTTAATATAAATCTTGCATAAATCCTTTCATTGACTTTTGTCTAAAGTCCAAATTTCTGTTGAGATCTTTCTTCATCAGGTCTTATGTAAATATTCAGTCTCAAACTCCTGCTACTGCCTCTTTGGTATCACAGTCAATCTGTGTTTGAACTAGTTTTTAAAATATGTTCAGATATTTCCTGTTCTCTTCTGCTCCAAGCCTTTGAATAACCTCTTTCCTTTATTGGCAATGGTTTCTTTCCTACTTTTACTTTGCTAAATCACCTGAGCTGGCTTTTAAATACATTATATCATTCTGTTCTCAGTATCCTCACTGACCAGAGACCACCAGGGAGACCGAGTCACGCACGCAAAGGTAAAGGGCTTTATTACGGGCTTAAGCCCGGGCTCCCAGACTTCACCAGCGCAATGGGTCCGTGCTGAGAGCCCCGAACAAGGGCAGAGTAGGGTTTTTATGGGGTTTGAGACAGGGGAGTTACAGAAGTTGTGACATGGGAACAGTGATCCAATCATAATAATTCAACATCATTGACAGCGGGTTTGACCGTACACATTGTCTAGAGTATTCGTTACTTTTGGTGGGATCCAATTACAACGTTTAGAGTACCTTTAAATTCAACCAATCACAGAGCCAGCCTAGGGTCTTGTTCGGAGACTAACAGGTTAACTGTAACATTAGGTAACAGTGTCCTATCTATAGTTTCTATCTCCAGGCCTCTCCCTTAGTAATGTGGAGGGTGGTCGCTGGCCTTTCCTGATTGGGTGTTGCAAGGGTGGTTTCTCCTGCCTTGGGCAATGTGTAACTGCCTGATAGTTTCGGGGAAGCTGAAACTCAGGCCTTCTCGTTTAGAGGGGAAACTTAAAGCCTGTCATGGAGTCAGTTTGGTTTAGACGTTTAGACTTGTGGCCTTACGCTATGATGCCAAAGTACCTAGTAATTTCATTATTTTTTTAAAATTCTGTGCATTAATATTTGCTTATTTGCTTAAGTTTATTTCGTTAGTAACTCTGTTTTTTTCACTGGACTGGATGATGTCTCTATTCTTTAATGTGCTGTAAGGAGAATAGTCATGTGTGTTTGCTTTATTTCTCTATCCCCAGAGCTTAGTATAGCAGCTGGTAAAGAATAAGTTGCTGACTGATAACTGCTTTTCTCTTAAGCAATACTATAGAGGCAGTCCTATTATAAAACTTTATAACTCCGCGCTACTGTGTTTCTTTCACTGCTAGTATAATTTGACTTCAGAGATTTTTTGTTTGCTTTTAAAGAGTGGATATATTTACATTAATAGAACTCCTGTTCCATTTGGAAGGGTAGAGAAGTGGACCATGGTTTATTAGATACACAGCGTAAGAAACACTGATTTAGAATGGAGTCTATCTATGTAAAATGTCATTTCAACTCTCACGAAAGACTAAAACCTTTTATTTGTTATAGGTTATGTGTAGGTTTTTTCTTTCAGTATCATCATTTGCTTCACTTTCTTGATAGATGCTATAAAAATGTCATAGCATTAATATAATGAAAAAAGAAGCAAAGAAGGTTAATATAAGAGAGGGAAATAACACCAATAGTTTGTGACACTTTAAGCAAAGATTACCATACATAAATTGAAAAAGCTTCATTGGTTAAGAATTGCTCCTGAATGCAAAACATTAGAGTGAAAGTCTGTAGGGATTTCCCTTTCTACCTTTTTCAGTTATCGTCTTTACTAGGTTATATTTTGTCTTACACTTGATGTTATGATCCCGTGTTACAGCATGCTTGATAAATCATCAGGGAGTATGTTTACACTTAAGTAGGAGGGAGATAGGATAAGACACTTTTTCCTTGCCAAATCATATGGTTTTATCTGGGAAGAGAAAAGTTTTCATGTTACTTCCTTTGTTTTCTCTTAACCGGAAATGGGTTACATGCCCATCCTTAGATCAGTCAATAGCCAAAGGGAAGAGATTATTTTGACATATTTAGACAAGTTATAGTTCATCACCTGAGCTGTCATAAGTTCCCAGACCAAAGTGTATATACCAGTATCTCAACAAACTCAGTTTCTAATACAAAGGCAGATCTTGAGGAGGTGGACTTCAAAGAGACAATATGGGGAAGACAGAAACCATTTCTCTTGATTGTTCTATTTCAGTAGTCATTCCAACACACCCTCCTTTATTAGTTCTTTTTCTCTTTGACAATTTTGGTTCCCCAGGCTCAGTCTTTGGTGCTTTTCTCTTCTGTGGTAGTCTCATCCCACCTAACTGTTAAAGACTTTAAAAGGTTTATAGCCAGGTTTATAGCCAGGCCATACCTCACTCTAAACTCTAGATTTTTATGTTTTTATATATTGCTTATTCAACATTTTCAGTTAGAGGTCTGTGGCCAATTTTTTTTTCCAAGATAATTACAATAATATCTGCCATTCCACATGCCCTTCTTAAAATGTAACATTGACTCTTCCAAACTGAGAAGTGGAAGATCTTTTCCATATGCTTGAATCTGGATGGGTCTGTGACTATTATGGAAGTGATACTATGTAAAATCTGAGGCTACATGATGAGAGAACATAAAACTTCCACACAGTTCTCTTCTGAAGCTGTTAGAGACCAATCACTCTGCTGTGAGGAAGCCAAGCAACCCCTTAGAAGGGGCCAGTGTAGTTCCTGCCAATAACTCTAGCTAAGTTCCGAGCTGACAGCCAGCACCAACTGCTGGACATACTGAGTGAATGAACTAGATCCTAGCTGTGCTGTCACCTCAGCCTTGGTGTTACCACCATCAATGTGAAGAAGGGATGAGTTGTTGCTGCTGAGCTCTGATCAAGTTGCAGATACAGAAGCAATTAAATTGTTATTGTTTTAAGCTTTTAAATTTATAGAGGCTTGCTAACTAAAGACAGTCCACCAGAAATCTTATCCTTAACAGGCTCAAAAATAAACTGAATCTTTCTCTACAGTTTCCATTAGTTAATGCCGGTTCTATTATTTTAGTGGCTTAGATCAAAACACTCAGTATGATCTTTGGTGTCTCTCTCATATTCCCTGTATATATACCAGGATTTTTATTGCCTTTGACTTCAAAATGCATTCATATTTTATGTACTTCTCATAATTTCCGTTGTTACACCATAACCTGAGCCATTTTGCCAACATTTTTAGGGCAACAATTTTGTCACCATTTCTGGATCATGGTTTACCATCGTATACCCTTGTACTTCTACAGTCTGTTCTTCATGTAATAGCTGAATTATTCTCTGGAATGTAAATAGAGGTCACATCTTTGCTCAGAACTCCCCAGTGGGTCCCTTTTACTCTGTTTAAAAGCTCACAACAAACCTAGAGTGGTATTATTTCTTCCACTTAACAGATAAGGAAACTGAGTCAGTTATTTTAAATACTACTCTGTTATCAAGCTGATATGTGGGAGAGTTAGGTTTTTCTAATCTCCAAAAATTATGCTACATTGTATGTATAGGCATTTGTGTGTGCTACACATTAAACATATACATTTATAGTGGTATGCATTACAGGAATTAATAAACAAAAATATGAAACATATAAGAAAGCAGTTCTGATAGTTTCAGGATAAAATTGTACTGAAAACTTAAAGGTTAGAACTATAAGTGAAAGAGAGAATAAGCAGTAATGAGAAAATGCTGGAAAAATATTAGGAGAGGAGGTTTACAAAAATAACTTTGAGTTGGATCTGACTTCTCCATCCACTGTTGAGCCCCTTGCCTACCACCACGTGCCCATGGACGTATGCCATTGCATATTAAGACTATGAAGGGAGGGTGTGATCTTGTTTAATTCCAAGAATAAAACACATGACTCAATTGAACATGTCCACCTCACCCTCATAAACTTGGAAATTAAAATGTACTCTACTTAAGTATTTTAAAAATTTCTTTTTAAGTTATAATTTATAATTGAGGAAATAAATCATATTACAGCCTCAACAGAGAAAACTTGATCAGTTGCTATATTGTGAATAATTATTCTAATGGCAAGAACAAATATAATTTGAATGTTATGAAATCCCGTAGATACATAGGAAATGAGTTTCTTTTTAATAAAGAATTTCTTCCCAATAAAGAATTTCTTCCCTTTGTATTTGTAATAACCCCAGCACTTCATTTGTATGATAGAGAGTGCCTTGTGCCTGGCCTATTACAGATTCATGCAGTTCAATTTAGCAGGGCTCTTGCTGCTGCTACTTGCCAATCTGCTACTTGAAACCCAGTATACACCCTCAAGTTGTTATCTAGGTCTTCTTTTCCTTAAGTATATTTTTATATCTCCATAG